GAACACTACCCTCGGGTGGATTCTGTCTGGGGCGGTCGGCGATACCGCGACCGCGCATCTCGCACGCTCGTATCAATGCCGAGTCGAGGAGGACCTCCTCGACGTGGTGCGGCGGTTCTGGGAGCAGGAGGACGTGCCGACCTCTCCCGCACCTTCCCCGGAGGATTTGGAGTGTGAGGAGCATTTCGCTAGAACTCACAGCCGCCAATCCGACGGACGTTATGTCGTGCGGCTCCCGCTCGTTACGCCTCTGCCTGACTTGTCGGAGACGCGCCGCGTCGCCGTCCGGGTGCAGCGGAGCATGGAGGCGAAGCTGAGCCGCGACCGATCCCTCCGCGATCTGTACGTGGACTTTATGCGCCAATACGCGGACTTAGGGCATATGACGCGTGTCCTGACGGCTACCGGTCCCTCGCCAGTCTGCTACTTGCCGCATCACGGGGTCCTGCGGGAGGCGAGTTCCACTACTAAACTGCGGGTAGTGTTCAACGGCTCCGCTACTCTCCCGACGGGAGAGTCTCTAAATCGCTACCTGCGCGTGGGGCCTAACCTACTGCCGGCCCTGGCGGACGTCCTGACGCGGTGGCGTCGGTACCGCTTCGTGTTAATGGCCGACATAGAAAAAATGTTCCGCCAGATTGTCGTCCACCCGCAGGACCGTGACTGGCAGAGGATCCTGTGGCGCGATAGAGCTGACGTGGAGCTTGAGGAGTTCCAGCTGAACACCGTGACCTACGGTCTGGCGTGCGCCCCCTTCTTGGCGATGCGCACCCTCCGCCAACTGGCGGACGACGAGGAGCGCGAGTCGCCGCTGGGAGCTGCCGTGTTGAGACGGGATGTCTACATGGACGACATCCTGACCGGTGCCTCGTCCATCGAAGCTGCCAAGGCCGTGCGGGAGCAGCTCGTGGGGATCTGCAGGGCGGGGGGCTTTCCCCTCAGGAAGTGGTCTGCCAACGACGCTTCTCTCCTGGAGGGCCTGCCGACGGAGGATAGACTGCAGCGGGAGCCGCGATGGTGGTTGCCGGGAGAGAGTCACTCTACGCTGGGTTTGCAGTGGCACCCGCTCAGCGATGATTTCTCGTTCGCCACGCGGCTGCCGAGGATCGAGACCTTCACCAGGCGAACAGTCCTGGCCCTGACGGCTCGGTTGTTCGATCCTTTGGGTTGGCTCTCTCCCGCCACGGTTAGAGCGAAAATCTGGATCCAGGCGACGTGGCTTCTGGGGATCGACTGGGACACTCCACTGCCCGACGATGATGCCAGGAAATGGGGGGAGTTTCAGGACGAGATCCCCCGTCTGGAGGAGATCCGTATTCCTCGAGAACTATCGAGGACCGGCGACGACTTAGAGATCCACGGATTCGCTGACGCGTCGGAGAAGGCGTTCGCCGCGGTGGTGTACCTCCGGACGCGGGATCCCGCTGGATTGATCCAGGCCAGAATAGTGGCAGCTAAAACTAAAGTTGCTCCATTGCAACAGGTCTCGTTGCCTCGTTTGGAGCTGAGTTCCGCTGCCCTCCTCGTGCGCCTCGTGGCCCACGTCCGTCGTGTCCTGGAAGCAGAGGAAGCGCCCGTCCACTTGTGGTTGGATTCCACTGTGGCACTGGGATGGATCCGCGGGCATCCAAGTTCCTGGAAGACGTACGTCGCCAACCGAGTCAGCGAGATCCAGACCACCCTTCCTGGAGCACTGTGGCATCACGTTCCGGGGCGGGATAATCCGGCGGACTGCGCTTCGCGAGGCCTTTCTCCCTGCGAGCTGGTGGACCTGGAGCATTGGTGGCGGGGGCCCGCATGGCTCCGGGCGGACTCGAGACCTTGGCCGAGCCCCTGGAGCGGCGGCACCGAGGGCGAGCTCCCTGAGCGGAGAGTCCGCTCCCATGCTGCTGCGGTTCCCGTGGAGGAGGACGGCGAGTTGGAGCTGCTCTCGAGGTGTTCCACCTTGAGCCGCCTGTTGCGGATCACCGCCTGGTGTCGACGCTGGCTGGTTCGCGCTCGAACGCGGACTGGAGCTCTGGCTCCGCCCGATTCTCCTTTTTCAGGCTCGCTCCGGTCCGAGGAGCTGGATGAGGCGCGTCTGTGCTGGGTCCGTCTGGTGCAGGCCAAGCACTTCCGAGACGAGATGGCTTCCATTGAGAAAGGGAAGCCGCTGCCGGCGCGCAGCGCCCTCCTCAAATTAAGCCCTATATTGGACCACCTGGGAGTCCTCCGAGTCGGCGGTCGACTCAAGCACTCCTTGTTGTCGCATGACGAGAAGCATCCGGTAATCCTTCCCGGTGAATCGCCTTTAGCCCGGCTGATAATTGCGGCCTGCCA